GACTAAATTTGATGCAAAGATGAGGAATCAAGTGCTTAGCAGAAGGAAAGAGATGGGAGATACACCTTCAAAACCAACTCAGAAAAAGAGTAATTAGTTTTTCCATCTCTCTATCATGAAATATTAAACTTGTTATTTGCATATTAAAATTTCGAACCATCTCATATCTGTGCTTAGGGATGTTGACTGTTTATCACACGTTTTGATGCGTATGCGTTTAGGTCTGGCACCAAGTGTTGCCAGAGAGGAATATCTCTCACTGTTCCAGCATATTGTTTACATTTTCTCTAGTTATTTCTGTATATTCTAATTAAATTTCATTGTGATTGTTTTCTTAACAGAGAGCTCTACTGTGAAAGGCCGTGAAGAGTCTAATCAAAGGTAATGACACCCACACTTATATGCTATCGCGTCTGTATCATTCCATGTTTTGTAGCTAAGTCAATATGCCTGGCTCGTAGTTTGTGTGTTCAAGGTTGGGCAAACAAGTAGATATTACATATTCACTTTATTAAATGACTTCAAGTTATAAGATTTTCTATCTCATTGATATAAGTGAATATTTATTCACATGAGTCAATTGTAGTCCCATCATGTTCGTGCATACTACAAAGAGAAAGTACGAATTAGTTAAAGATGCCATGAACGCTCTCATATATGCCCAGTAATTAGCAATGTACCAGTTAGTGATAAAACCTTTCGAATGAATTTGCTTTCTGTGGGATATATGTTTGAATTTGTTTTACGATAATGTATGTTGGCATAACCAGTATAGCACAAGTCATGGACTCATTAGTTTTGGCTATTTACAGGTCTGATGTTGCAAGTAGTGAAGACGAGAAACCTAGAATGGAAAAGTTGTTCTTGAAGGAAAAGGGAATAGGCTCAGAAGCCAAAACCGAACGAATGGAGAAAGGAGACGCTGATTTACAGCTTTACAACGCTTCTGAACGCGCCCGGCAGTTACATAAGTTGAAAAAGCGCAGACTGCAAGGAAATGAGGATGCTGTGAGTTTCTAGCTTAAAGTTTAAATCTATTTTCTTATTGAATCTTTACCCTCCTTAGCTCATTGATCAAATCCGTGTGCCTGTTTCCTCGAAAAGTAAAATCTAATTTTGTCAGAGAAACGATATTAGAAGACTGATCATTGTTTCTCTCTTGCTCTTCAGGTGTTGGCAAAACTCGAGAAGTTTAAGCAGTCCATTTCTGCAAAACCGTTTACCTCAAGTAGTGAACCAGTAGGCGATAAAGAAGAAGATCTCTCTGATTGGAAGAAAGTAAAGCTCAAGTTTGGACCCGAGCATGGCAAGGTAAATCTTTAAAGTTGCATCTCATTTGAGCAAAGGATCAAATGGATATAGTACTCTGTTTCGTTCCCTTTCTTTATTAGTTAGCATTATATCGAAATTCTAGTAGTCCATAAAATAGTGCATGCTAATAACATATATTTTCATCTGAAGCTTGAATTATGAATATATGTTTTTGCATCTTGTGGAGTACCTGAAAAAAAATGTGAAACTATCCTGCAGGATAAAATGCGCAAGGATGATCCAGATGCGTATGTTGTGGTCGACCCTCTTCTTGAAAAAGGGAAAGAAAAGTTCAACAAAATGCAAGCCAAACAAAAACGAAGAGAACGAGAATGGTCAGGAAAATCTCTTGCCTAAGAGTTTTGGAATCTTACGAATTCGATTTTTTTTGCTTTTGTGTGATTCTTAAGATGTCCGTTCGATGTCGAAAGCTCTCGAGTTTAAACTTGGATTCATACAGAGACATGAACATCTTAAATTGGTCACAAGCTCCCATGACACAGCTCTCCTCTAATGTGTTGTTAATAGATGTATTGTCGAAAACTGAGGCTATTGAGATGATTTTTAAACCCTTTTAACTTGCATTTTATCTGAATGGACCCGTAAATCCAAATATCATTCCTTACAAAATCACAACACCATAATCGCAATCACAACTAAATTATACAGAAGTCGAAGGTTAAGACATTTTTCAGATGCTAAATGTGAAATCAAATTTAATTTTCTCTATTTTAAAAATAAAAATATGTGGTAGAAAGGATATGGCATGTCTTGCTATTAGAAGTGATGTTTCTTATTTCACGGATGATGTCGACAATGGCTCTTTGCTTATAAATTACTAATAAAAGAAATTTTTTGAGTTGGGATTTCTTCAATTTTCACGTAAAATACAACAACAAGAAAACACCAAAACATCTTCTTCTTTTTTTTTAACTCTCTATTCTTTCATTTTTTGTTTGTGTGCATGAACTCGATTTGTATCCTTCTCGAAGAGCAGCTCTCCTTGTTATCTACTCTTTGTTTATTAAA